CGTAAGCTGCATTCTTTTATAGTTCATCTTTTCCTTCTCCAGATTACACATGATCATCCAAACAGTCATGAAGCAGTTTGTAAACAGCGTGAAAGTCTTCCCACAAATGTTTTATTAGGGAATGCCCTAGTACTATGTAGAAATTGATATGGGTCTGTATAAGAGAAAAAAATACTACTGTTAGTATTTTCAATTTTTTATTCTGATGGAAATTCATTTTGCTTTGAAACTTGCTAAGAAAGAAACTTTTTTTTCTGACAATTTGTTACAACAATATTCTCTCTTCAGTAATATATGTACAAGCATATATACTCGGAAGCATTGATCGTTTTAGGAGCATATGGGATCAAGGGATAGTGTCACCTGTGAGCAAAGTGTTTCTGACTAAAACTGAAATGTATTTCATTGTAATAGATCTTTTGTAAATTGGGTTGCAGTACTGAGTTGCAGCCTACAACGAACAAATGTGGACCCATTTGAAAATAATTTCTAAGCATTCTTGTAAAAATATTACAGGAGCTTTTTGTGTTTCCAAAGTGTGATCCTTTGTTTTTAATATTTGACAGGTATGATATGACGCTAGCAAATGCTTGTGTTGCCTTGAGTGAAAGATGGATCAAAGTGAGTGGTTAAAGACTGCTGGGGTGTCTGTATCTTGGAAGGCTAGTTCTCCTTACACGAAGTGAGCCATTCCCTTCTGAAATCTATCATTTGCTGAGAGAGCGTGTATTTATGGTGATAGGGTGATTTATGGTATGGCTGCCAGGGATTTTGCATTTCGTAGACTAGCCTTTCCTCACAGAGTCTGTGGATTTGCTATGACTTCTGTACGTGAAGCACAGGATGTATTTTAACAAGGCACACAGCCAGCTTTTTGTTATCTGTACTGAGAATATTCTTTTGGAAACTCTGATACTATGGCTTGATTTAAAAACAAATACCAAGGTATCCCTACATTACTAATCATATTGTATAATAATAATTCCCCTACGTTATACTGGAGCTAGTATGCATTTCTTATCAAAAACTGAAATACATAAATCATAATAACTAATACAGTACAATTTTCTCATAATTTTAACTGTAAAACTCATACAAGTAATAGAGAATTGAGCATACCTTCCTTATGTTAGCTCTGTGACTTTTCACTGTACTTTAACTTTCTTATCTCTCTTAATCTTTCTTCTTCTCAAGGTTACGTTTTATAGAAAAAGTATTTGATTTTTCACTTAACAGAAAGACAGTGGAGAGAAAAAGATCAGTGGAGAGAAAACAAGTGAAAATTAAAGAATACCAAACATCAGATAGTAGCTTAAGTCCTTCCCTTCCCCTTCTTGTAACAAATAGGGATCGGTATCATTTTATGTGGAATGACTTAATAGTAAATGCAGATGTCCAAGCAAAAAAATTACGCCTGATTGTACTTTGAAATAACTATTAAAAATTTAAGTAACCATTCTCTTTTAGGCAAAAGAGAGTGATTTGGGCTCATTCAGCTCAGCAGACCTGAAGGAAATGTCATCTCATCAGTTGATTGAGTTCCTGGCACTGTTGCTTCTGGAGGTAAGTGCATGCCTGGGGTAACTTGATTCTGGTATCACGAAAGCAGACACAAAAGCCCGAGTGTGTTTTGGAACTAAGTTGTCCAGTTTCTTTTAAGTTTTGCTGAAATAATCTGCTCTCACCATACATAGTTACTAAAACCTTCAGCTGTGCCTCTCTGATTATGTCTGGCACTTCAGTTAACAAGCAACGTATACAGCATTTTGGATTGAAAGGTAAAACCAAAACTACAAGGTTCTTGAATTTGTCTCTGTTTGATGTTATAGCAAATAAGCCATAAATAAAATGGAATTTGGTAGTACTAGATGTAGGAATTTGCTAACGTTTATTCCTTGCTCCTTCTGTAATACTATGAGAAGGTGAAAGGACCAAATACAAATATTTGTCATGGTAAGCTTTTAATTCCGTTGTAGCATCAATCTTCTTGAATGGACCTGTTTATTTTTTCAAGCATGTGGCTTGAAGTGTGCCTCTGGCTTATTCTGACTATGCACTTTCCTTTTTCAGGCTCCTCTTCCAGTTTCACATGTCCAACGAATGCAGCAAGTGTATGACCTCAATGCTATAAACAATTCTGAAATAAGATTCAGGTTTGTTCTAGTATGAGCATTTTTCTAATCTTAAATGCTTTCATAAAACAAAGTGTCCTGCTTCATAAATGGTGTGAGATATACTGTTGTACAGAACTGTGCAGGGGTTTTTGGGTGGTTTTGTTGTTGTGGGGTTGGGGTTTTTATTTGTAAGTGCATGTGCAAGCATGCTTACCAGAGTGGTGTTCCGTTAGTTGTAGATTGGATAAATATAGTCTTGTAGAAGAACTGGAAGTGAGCAGTGGATTAGCTGTGCTTTATTTTCATCTGTTATGCTGGTAAAGGAACCTGATGACCCGATAACTTATTTTAGGGGCGGTATTGGATAACACAATAGTGAACCTCTCTGTGACTCCACAGATGCCTGAAAAATCTTTTCAATATTTAGTCAGGACCAGGTCTTCTAGACTTACCTAATCGGTTCGTCTGCTGATGCGCCAGTGGTTTTTTTCAACACAATTTGGAAATATTTCAATGCTCACTATCACAAAGTTTTTGTCTCCTCAAAAAAAAAGTAAATATCAAATGAAGTTTCTAAACAAATAGGAAATACTTCTACCTAAATGGCTTGGTTCTTGTGCCATCCTAATTTCTTCTATTTTGTATTTGCACGTTGTGTTTACACATGTCACTTGTTAAAGGTATTGTTGAGGAGCTAAGTAATCTTTACAAGTATCTGGAAGTATTGCATATTTTGCTACTGTTACGTACTTGGATACATTTGCAGTAGTCGTGGTTACTGTGCCTTAACTAACTTGGAGTTCTTTTGTTTCTTCTTAAAAAAAACTAAGTATTTTGAATGTAGGGTATAGTTTGTACTTCTTCTAACGATATCAGTTTCTTATTTTTAAAACAAAACAAGCACATGCCAGTTGCTGATGATGTTTTGTTTGGGTTTGTTGTGGGTTTTGTGTTGTTTTTTTTTTACCACTTGGTCATATATGATATGGTCATATATGACCAAGTGCTATATACTTCAGCTCTAACTCTGAGGGGTGCAACTGAACACTACTGTGATATAAAAGAAATATTTAGCTGCAGAAAATAATCAGACCATTTTGGAGAAACTTTGAAGTAATTTTTTCCTATTTTATAGAAAAGTCCACTTTTGTAACATGCTAGTCAGACGCTAAATGTTTTATGTTGAACTTAGCTAGAATCTCATTCCCATGATGACACAGCACTGCCCAAAGTGTTTGTGGGAACAGAATCATAAAATAACTGACCACCGCAAATGAAAATAAAAGTGTAAATTTTCTTTTTCTTTTTTTCCTTTTCCCTCCTCCCCAGATGGCTGCGCCTCTGTATCAAGTCCAAGTGGGAAGAAGCTATTCCTCTGGCTCTAAAAATGGCAACAGATCAGGGCAGGATGAAGTTTACTCGACCCTTGTTCAGGTAAAAGTAATCTCCAAATTGTAGGAGCTCATGCTGTTGGCACTTTTAGTATAATGGAATGTATAATACTTGACGTTGTACATGTATTTATGTTACGCTTATTTTTTTTTTAACAGAAGGCGGCAGGTCTGCCAGTACACACCTCCATGTGAGGCTTTCAAGGGAAAATTAAGTCTTTGAGAAAATCCCCATTGCACTATTTTCATAGATTTTTGTAACGGTGCTTTTCCCCCCTTGACCCTACTTCTTTTATAGGGACCTTTACAGTTTTGACAAGAGTCGAGATCTGGCTGTCAAGACATTTCTGGAGCATAGAGCCTCTATGCACCCAGTCACTTCAATGCTTGTGGGCAAAGATTTGAAACAGGATCAATGAGAAATTTACTGATTTCTTTGAAATTTTCTCATGCTGAAAGAAGAGACTGATTCCACAAACTGTTGATACGCGTGCTTGATTATGTCATGAAATACTCGGCTGCTTTGGTACTAGTTTAGCTTGAAATGAACTTTCCAAATCAAATTCAGTACTTTCTATTTTGCATTTCCAAGTAAAACGGCAAAATTTCTAGATCTCTGGAATTGGGAAAATGATTTTGTAACAAGCAGTTTTTAGAAAAGCTGTTCTGAGATGTAGTTGTTTGTCAGTCACAGAATTTGAAAACATGGAAAATTAACTGGTGGATGTATGGCTCTTTGTGCACAGCTCGCTTTTGCATAGAAACATCGTTGAAATTTCAAGTATCTGAAGACTAAAAAATAAATCTTTTCATTGTCTGCTTGTGTGTATTGATCTGTACAAAAAGTTTTTAAAAAAATAATTTTGTTTTATTTACTCTTCTTTGTTGTGGGAGAAATTTTGAAGACCTAAATGGATCACAGCATTCTGGTGTTAGAGTGGATTTTCCATCTAGCCCTATTTGTCATGGCTTTGTTACGTCAGTCAATTCCTCACATTAATCACAATATGATGGTTTTACTTAGTTATTCCCATTGGATGCTATGCTGTGCATTAACAGCTCTCTGAATAGAGTGGTCTGAAATATTTCCTTGTTTGTTTGTTTTTTTAGCAATCAATGGATTTTTACCAAATTTCAGATTTTTGAGATCTAAGATCTTGCTATGCTTTTAGTAACTTTTAAAATTATTTCAACCCGCTATATATTTTCAAAACTTCTAATTATTGCAGGGGGGACTAAAGCCCAAGTCTTTCCTTCCCCAGTTTGAGTTTTTTAATATTTGCGTGGGTTTTTTAACCAGTTCTGCGCACTACCCCTTACACTAATACAACAACACGGAGATAAGTTTAAAAATGATTGGAGGGCTGTTTTTCTTATCGTCACAGCACTTCAAGTCCATGGTTTAGGTGAAACTGTTGTGACTGCTGCCATCTATAGATTGTTTTTTGAAGTGAGTTTCATAAGAACAGATTTTCCGGGAGATGATCAGTTACATAAATTAAAATAATCCTGTATCAAGGAGTAACAAAAAAAAAAAAGTGCTGTTTTAGAGGAGGAAGATGCCAAATATAGGTCGTGGCAAAAGACTTGGATTTAATAATAGCTCTTAGGGTGGGAGTGGAGAGCCTGTCAATTGATTTATTTCTGTTCCGAGTTTTGCTCAGTATAAGCTTTCAAGTAGATGGAGTTTACGTACTTTACCAGGAGATTCATCTTTTCATGCTGACAGCTCTGGTATAAATGAAGCCATGAACATATCTTGTTGGATTTTATTGATTTAACACGTCCTGAGTTCTTCCATTCAACTTCAACCTACATATGTCTAAGTAGGTTAAATAAAAATGTTAGAAAAATTAACTCCTAGGTGATTGAGGCTCAAAAATGAGTTTAAATTCTTTCTACGCATGTCATGACACTCAGCTTTTAATAAACAATAAAATACTGGCTTTTTTGGAACAAAAATAGTCTTGTTTCCTTGTGTGTAAAGAATTTACAGGCTTTCTTGTGTTAAAGACCTAGTGAGCCATTCATTCCCTTCTTGCTGCTCCTCTGAAGGAGGGATAAGTTCTCACTGAAAAGAATTTTTCTATATTTCAGGTTAGAAATTAATGGAGTTCCTTTCATTCACTCCCGGAATCTAATGAGGTTTCTGCTACAGCATCACCTGGTAGGAGGAGGTGTTCACAGGTTCTGGTGCAAGCTATCAGACTGCAATAAAAACTCCTGATTTTTGTTTTAGAAATGTTTTATGTTACTCGTTTTGGGGTAATGTTTTGTTGTGAAAGCCCGTCTATTATATATAGTGATTTGGCAGCTGGAGTTTATGGTGCCAGATAATCCTGGTTTCTTGCTGTCAGAGCTTGGAAAAAAAAGTAGTTGCAGGTGTGGCTTTCGCTTTCGCTGGCGTTGTCCTGCTCTGCTAGGGCGGTGGCTCCCCCACGGACTCCCACCAGTGAGTCTCGAAATTCCTACAATAATTCAGGCACTTTATAGTAGTCCCTTTGTCTGGGAACACTGTTGTGGGTAGCATGGAATGCGAGTGTTATTGCTGTTTTGTCTTTAAAGACAAAGGTATTTTCACTTTCTGTGTGGATGTGGTTATTGCTAAACTTCATTTTGGCACCATCTTAAAAGGTTTTTCTCCGCATCTTCTCCTCTTTGCTTCTGCCTGTAGAAGCAGCATGATATAGCAGCACTGGGCTTGGTAGTGTGCAGGCATGACCTGACACTTGTTGCTACCTGTTCTAGCAACATCTTCCAGAACATAATTGAAAAGGTAACATAAATTCATTAATCTTTTTCTTACCTACAATACAAAATTATGTTCTCAAACATAAAGCGGGCTTGCTTCCTCTACTGCCTGCTTTTATCCTGCTCTGGATAGAGATGGAAAAGTAGGATAACCCCATCTCCTTTCAGTACAATCCTGTCTCCTTTCGTAATAATGGGGTGAATCTCTTCCAGCCCCACCCCTCCTGGAGGTTTGCATTAGTGTGATCTACCACCGAGTGTCAACTCTGTTAACTCTTTATTAAACCCATAAGTTTTAGAACATCTGCATTCTGACTTAGTCTGATTTATCTTTCTATTCTTGGTACATAAACTCCAGCTCCTAGATTTTCATTTCTATATTCCTGATGTCAACTTTGGAAGAAAACTCCTGTAGCAATAGCTGGGGGCAGGTTTTGCCTTTCCATGAAAAGGGTGTCCTCGCTGGGTTTGGTTTGATTGGGTGAAGTCAGCTGAAGACATCGATCTCGCTTATTTACAAAGGTGGGGATTTTGAGGGTAGATTTTTGCCTCTCTCTGATTGCGACACTAAACTCCAGCTGGACGCTGCTTTTCAGGCCACCACGTTGTACGCGTAAGGCTGCTGCACGCTGCAGCCCTTCTCGGTCAAGGGACAATTTTGGAGAGAAAGCATGCCGAGATACACGGTGCACGTCCGAGGAGAATGGCTGGCAGTGCCCTGCCTGAGCTCCACGAACACAATTGGGTGGCTGGGAAAGGAAGCGGTGAGACGGTACATGAAAAACAAACCCGACAATGGGGGATTTGCCTCGGTGGAAGAAGTAAAATTTTACATTCGAAGGTGCAAGGGACTTGGCTTGCTGGATCTTGATGATACAGTGGACGATGCTCTCGAGGACAATGAATTTGTTGAAGTTGGTAAGCAAAACCTTAAGCAACGCATCGCAGAGTGACCGCGTTGGCATCTGAGTCAGCAAACGGTGGCTTAGTCTATCTAAAATGGTGTCTAAGGGAGTGTCTACGTCTTTTACAGAAAAAAGCCAAAATGTTTTAAGAATATTTAGTTTTTAGGAACAGAACTACGTAAGGTTTAGAAGGTACAGGATTCTATATAAATCATTTGTGTATGATTTCATATATAGTATATGCGTGGGTTGGACTGTTCTGCTTTTGCCTTTAGAGTGCCTTAAATGCATACTTCCTTGTTATTTCCCTAGAAGCATACAAATATGTTCAGGGCTGATTACTGCCAACTAGAATTCTTACTGCTGTGTGTTGTAATGAATAACAAACTAATTTATAAGTAGAATGCAATTTAATCCCATTTGTATTATTTCTGCGTATTTATTCTAGTTATAGAAGGAGATATAATGTCTCCAGATTTCATACCATCTCAGCCAGAAGGAGTTCATTTGTATCCTTTTTTGGGGCGTTTTGTGAACTTTCTGTAATTCCAGATATATAATTTTCTAGATTTCCCAGTTCTTTTTGAGTTCCTTCATTCTTAAAACACATTGCCAGCTGTAATCGAATGGTCACTACCTGTGAAATCCTGTCTGCCCTTTTATTTTCCTTTACAGAACTTTCAGGTACAGCAAATACCGAGAACCAGAACAGGTAGGAATCGCCGATGATTTTACAGCTCGGTAACAAATCCTGCTGTTCAGCAGAACGTGCTGAGAGTTGAGCCACTGCAGCGTTCACAAGAGCAGGGGCTGCTGGGTTGGCTGGGTCTAGGAATCTAAATTATAATGTGCTTATTATGTTTTTGTTAGCAAGTTTGTCTTACGTGTGTCTTATGAGCACTGTCGTTGCTGAGTTTTGGCTGTTTGTTTGGGGTTTTTTTATTCTGATTATTAAGCAACTTTGTATGTATCCCAGACTAAAAGGTGGTTCTTTGCTGTAGTATATTTCTTTAGATGGCAACAGCTTAACAACAGAGGACTTGGTCAATTTAGGAAAGGGGCTCTACAAGATAAAGGTAAAGATTCTGAACAAACAGAGCTAAAAATTACATGTTTATCTTTCTACAATTAAAATTAAAGATAAACTAGTATTTAAACTGATCATGTTTTAGCTCACACCTGAAGCTGAAGATAAAGTTAAACAATCACGAGAAGTGATTGAAAGAATCGTAAAAGAACAGACAGGTAACTATTTTCATCTCAAATTATTAATTGTTTAGAAAACTTCCTCGGGTTCCTTCCTTAACCAGCAATGTACGTTTCTTGCAGTTGTTTATGGAATCACCACGGGGTTTGGGAAGTTCGCCAGGACTGTCATCCCAAACAGTAAGCTGAGGTAAGTTGCGTGTGCGGCTTTCTCTGTCCGTCCTTTTCAGGAAAGGAAGCAGAGGAGCCGTTTGACCCTGTCCATTTATACTCTGTGGTTAGATAAGAGGGCTGCTTCGGTATTTCCCTCTGTTTTGTGTAAAGTAAAACCTGATGAGACTCACTTGTGTTTTTACTCATTTTTTTTTTTTTTTTTTTTTCCCCCTATAGGGAGCTTCAAGTGAACTTGGTTCGTTCGCATTCTGCAGGTAATGAGAAATCACTTGACGTTTCCCTTTTCTACCGCTGTTGGTAGTGGGTTAGTAACCAAGCAGATTACTCTTTCAGGTGTGGGGAAACCTTTGAGCCCAGAGAGATCTCGCATGCTGTTGGCACTGAGAATCAATGTCCTGGCAAAAGGATACAGTGGAATATCCCTAGAAACGCTCCAGCAAGTTATTGAAGCATTTAATGGTAAAAAGATGTTTAAAGAAAATCCCCCTTTCCCTTTTTTTTTTTTTTTCTTTTAATTGTTTCATTAAAGGGTGTAGTTCAATGGGTTGAGCTATGGATGTTGATCTTTCAGCGTGGTAGTTGTGAGAGATCAGGACCAGAGCTTGGCTGTACAAGCTCAGAACTGGAGACCGTTCCTCTGTTGAAGAACGTGGGGTATGAGAAGAACTGACAGGAAAGGCTGAGAGAAGGGGATGCAACAGGCAGAAGTTTGGGAAATGAGCCTCTGAGAGGTCAGGTAATTAGTTCAAGACTAAGCTTGACTAAGAGCGTGACTCTGGCTCTGGGCTAGCTCTTCTACAAAGGCTCAAGTCTCTAACTTTTGTCCTGTTGGGTGTGTGCTGATGTGTGTGCCACCATCTTTAGGGATGCTGGGATTTTGGGAGGGGGCCTCTTACCATGTAGAAAACTGCATGTGTTGGTGTTTGTCAAGCTGACCCTCTTCAGCAGCACCTGGTTTTGTGAATAGATCCCCTGAGACCTACACAAGTCTTTGTAAGCCAGGGCTACCAGACAGCCACACAGAAGTGCACGGCTAGTCAGCAGCTCCCGTGGCCATGGCTGTCAAAGCGGTTAAAGCTGGGTGGTCTCGCCGGACACCACGGCAGGGAAACCAAAGGGGTGGCTGTGCTGTCCATTAGCTGGTGTCCATGAGGTGAGGTGTGCCGGTGCAGCGGTGACAAGCAAAGAGCACCTTCTCCTTAGGTTAGTGTTAGGTTCAACTTGCCTTCTCTTTTTTCCTAAACTGTAGATTGGAAGATTGTTTTGAAACTATAGACCATGTGTGTGAGAGAGGAGCCATGTTCATATATGCAAGGCCCAAAGACTATGGGCTTTGTGCTGCCCTCTGTTACACCCTCCTCCTCCTCCCTGGAGGAGCTGCAATTCAGTGTTTAGCTCTGCAGAAGAAGAGAAACAGACTGGTCCCTTCCCTGCTTTTTCTGCAATTCCTTCGGCCCCGTTTCTTCATTTCCGCCTGTTCAGTGCACAGAGGACTAGGATGGGGGGAAGAGGACTCGAAGACGGTTTCTAGGAGTAACCCAATGTTTAGCGGAGTGAGAAATGAAGAGGTAGCTTTGTCCACACCAGGTGGTCACCCTGTGATGGAGAGCAAGAGGAGTGATGTTTTACCTGCCTGGCTGTGTGGCTGTAGATGCAATCACACCAGGCTGTGGTCACCCCACTCCAAAACTAAATGCAGAAGAGGACTGATTTCTTCATAAACTGCAACTAGCCTGTGAGCAGGGGCAAATCCCGTCTGCAACGAGAGTAATCCTGTTGGTGCCATTGACCATAATTGCAGGATGTTACTGTGACCACACTCATGTGCTGGCTTCTCTGTTTTCCGTGGAGTGTGTTGAGGGGAAGATCTAACAGGAGTTGTTCTTCTTTCCTTTCTAGCGTCCTGCCTTCCCTATATCCCAGAGAAAGGGACGGTTGGAGCCAGTGGAGACTTGGCCCCCCTCTCTCATCTTGCTCTGGGATTAATTGGAGAGGGAAAGATGTGGTCCCCAAAGAGTGGCTGGGCTGATGCTAAATATGTAAGATTTGTGCAGCTGATTGCTGTTTTTTTTTTTTCTCCTTGCTGGCTCATTTGCGAAATTACGTGTAGCCTCGAGAAGAAGAGAGCTTTTGCTCAGATTAATAACATGTAAAAGCCTTTGGATTTTTTGTACCAGTTTGAATTGGGACTGGATTGCCTTTAGCAACTCATCCTCTACCTTGAGGAAGGCAGATCCACGAGAATGGAATAACTGACCCACATGTCACTGGAGCAGATATGAATATGCAGCGTGTTACTAAGTCCAAAAGAAATATCACGCCGTAGTATTGCAATACAAGATACCGCAGTGACATCATTTAGGACCTGGAGAGGAGGACAGGATATGATACCAGTTATGAAAGAACTGACTACATCTTTAGCTCCATAAACATCAACATTGTTCTAACAAACCCAACATCACCTCTCAAATTCAAAACTTCAAATGCTGAGAATAACTGCAGATTTATTGGAGGCAGGAACTTATCAGTAAAATTTCTACTGATTTTATAATGGTTTTAAGTGAATCTACAGGTTTGGACATTTCATTTTTGATAAATTAACTAGGGTTACAAGGAGCCTTTATAGCATCCTCCTTTACAAGATAGAAGCTTTACAATGGAATTAATGTTTAGTGAATTGTTATTCTGTCACTAATAGTGTCTAGTGGTATCTCCAAGTCTGGCCCCTCCAAAGCCATGGTAGTTTGTTCTGCTACACCTATCACTCCTATCCATGAACATTTGAGCACCAGTTTTATTCATGAATTGGTAGCCATATCACCACTGTAGGCTGGAGAAGTTCTGAGAATTACACAGGGAGGAAGCAGGCCAGTGTGTCCTGGACCTTCGGGACCAGAAGTTACCGTTGTGCACCTCTGAGATGTGTCACCTCTTCAGCTGGAAAGGTGGAGAGGACTCTAATCCAAATCAAGGTTATACCATTCCTCCTATTTCCCACAAGAGCGACTGCCCTATAGAATAGTCACGTATAGAATAAACTGAGTAGGACTCCTGCTGTTGGAGGAGTTTTCTATAGAAAGGGTTAGGGAATCGTTTATAGAGCAATAGTTTATGCCAAGCCAAACCTCCTACGAGGCAGGGTGTCAGCAGAGCTACCTTCCCGAGGTGTTTGCAGCCTTCTCTCCTATTACTCTCTCCCATCAGCTAATACACGGTACATGTTAATGGGCTGTGACAGTATCTCGCTTCAGCGCTCCTACTGCCTTCTTTTCCTGGCACTGGGAAATGAGGTGCTAGTTTGGAAGTCAAAAAATGCTGTCCTTTATTTAGCTCAGCACAACAAAAATATTTTAAATGTTTGTGATATAAAGCTCTTTTTTTCCCCTCGCTTAAGGAATTTGTTAATATTTTTATTTATGGCAACCTTTAAGATTTTAAAGTTTTGGTGACTGAATTACTAAAAAACATTTGTCATTAATTACCTTGTCATTAAACTCCTTCACAGGTCCTGGAAGCCCATGGTCTGAGACCAATTACCCTGAAACCAAAAGAGGTAATAAAGTATAACAATGCCAGCTGATGGAAAACAAGCATAGTCAATCACTAGTTGCTTTATACTTACAATTTAAGCATGAAATGAATTAACAGTCATTTTAAATCAAGCTCCAGAAGGATATTAATGAAGTATTATCAGGAGTGGGATTCACCTCTTCTAGTGTCACCCAACTTGGCTTGAAATGCCAGAGCCAAGCTTGATGTTTAGGTTGGCTCTGTGGTCAGTGGAGAGAGACAGGCATCTTCAGAAAACCCTTTATATCCTCCTGAAACAGCTCCCTGAGAAGCCCTGCCAAGGTACCTATTTATCCTTTGACCATAACAGGAGCTCAGGTGACTGACTTGAACCAGGTGTCTGACTTCTAGATCGTTATAACTAGGTGAGATGAATCTCACTCCAAATATTAAAGTTTACATGGGAACACAACAGATTTGAGGGCTGTGGAGCTCTCTGACAAGAGGCCTCAGTAGCTGTAAAACAGCACCAGGAGCAAGAAGCCAAATCCAGCATCTCCTAAAGGCAAATGGAAGGCTCCCATGGACCTCATGTTTGTTTAGAATGAACCTGAAGCTAGTTTTAACTGAACTCAACAAATCCTTTAAAGCAGTTATAACTTCTAATGCGGTTTTCATTCTCTACGTCTTCGTTATGATTGGGTTTTGCACCCCCCACACTCTTGACTTCTTTGCTTTAACTAATAACTTAAGAAGAAATTTGGCATTCCGCTTCCAAAGGACTGGAAAAGAATAAATATTTCCTGTACTTTTCTTGCTTAAGCTTGAAATAACATGAAATAAACCTCTTGCTTGGAACTACTGGAGCTCCAAGTGTGTCTCTAGTGACTTCGAAGGGTCAGGAACATTGACAATTTATGTAGCGAAGTTGCCCAGTCAAGCTGTGCATTTTATGATTTCAGGACCATCCAGGAAGCTGAGCCAAGGTCTTTAACTCGTTCATATGAGGAGGAGAATTATCACAGAGATGGGGAGTTGCCACAGCGTGTGGAATAGCTGCAATGAATTTGCTTAACGTCTGCTCTCTCTTTAAAGGGTCTGGCTCTCATCAATGGGACGCAAATGATCACCTCGCTGGGATGTGAAGCAGTCGAAAGAGCCAGTGCTATAGCTAGACAAGCTGACATCATCGCTGCCCTTACGCTTGAAGTCTTGAAGGGTACAACAAGGGCCTTTGACACCGGTGGGTACTGGACCTTTCCTTTCTGTTTGCTAAACAGCTGTTGACGAGAGAGGCAAAACCTAACAGTCTAACTTGTTTTACTAGATATCCATGCCGTGCGCCCACATCGAGGGCAGGCTGAAGTAGCATTTCGATTCAGGTCCCTTCTAGATTCTGACCATCATCCATCAGAAATAGCAGGTGAACAATCTTAACCTTCACCCTCTCAGGTTACCAGGACAGGCTGGGTCCTTCAACAGTAGCCTGTATCCTTTTGTGTGAGGAATATTTGGGTTTTTCCCCCCCCTTGTTCCTTCTAGAGAGCCATAGATTCTGTGACCGAGTTCAGGACGCGTACACGATGCGCTGCTGTCCTCAGGTAAAAACTGACTTTTATTTCCTTTCATAGCAATAGATAAATTATGGTGAAGTTCCCACTTCCAAAATACTGACAATTATATGCTGCCTGACTCCATTAGAGGGAGGGTTTTTATTTTGCTTCTCCCTCACTTCAAAGTTAGTATTAATGGTGACATGTAATTCATCGATCCCGTGCATGCAGCCATCAGGCAGCATCTAACAAAGCTGCATTCAGATCTGGAAGAGGCCAAGTGTCAGGGGGAAGGTGCTGGTTTCTGTGCTTGCAGGCTTTGTAGGGCATTTCTTCTGCATTGATACCAAGATGTTGAACTGGGGGAAGGTATTTCCAGAAGCAGCCAGAGTGTAGTATCTCAAACATACTGGAAGAACTCAATCATGTGAGTTTTAACATGAGCAAAGCTATTAAATCAGTGGAATTAATGCAAGTTAATTAATTAATGAGAGATTTTGTTTTCTGTGGGGGCTCTGTAAGGTTGCTTCTCTCCTAATAACACTATCTCATCTTCCGTTTAGGGTAAACAAGTAAAGAATGACATAATCAGATTACCCTTGTAGCAATACTGCCGTAATAGTAGTAAACACAGTCTTTCAGGTGTCTAGGATGGGCAGTGGCCCACTGTGATGCTCCTGACTTTTAAAAGCAAATCCAAGACCATCATGCATGGATGTAGAGACTGGGATAATTGGAAAGGGCGAGCCTGCAGCTCAGTCAGCATCCTGAAGATGAACTAAGTGTAGATACTAAGCTTAGGTGCTGATGTCTTTTGTTCTAGGTTCATGGAGTTGTAAATGATACAATTGCTTTTGTGAAGGACATCATGACGACTGAAATCAATAGTGCCACCGACAACCCTGTATCTTTTTGATGACTTTATTGCTACATAAAATTTCGCCTGGCCTTTTTTATCCTTTCCTTCTAGATAACTATTTGATTAGGAGATTTGCACTCAGTCAGGGCAGGCAGACAAAAGACGCGTGGCTGGTAAGCCTTGTCGTGGCTCAGCCTGGTAAACGGTGCACAGTTCTTGTGCTGGCACTGAGCAGTGTAATGGTGCTATACATAACATCAGATCAATAGCTGCTAAGCATTACTGCTTGTAACTTGTCTAAAATTGTGTCTGCCACAGAGAGAATCTACCAAGGAACTGAGAAGCTATGCTAGGATCCAAACACGTGTGTTTCTTTGCACCCCTCCCCACCCCTGATCAAAGACCTCATTTATGTAGTCTATTTGGAAAAATACACGTCAAAACTGTATCTACACGTTTACAGAACTGAGGTTGGGCCTTCATTTTCCGAAACGCGAACATGCGGATGTAATATAATGTGCTTGCAAATAAAAGCCTGTTAGCACATACGTTCCTTCAGTTAAGATATTCCAATTACTGACAGATACCTGTCATGTAAACTGTATTTCATTCGTGTTTGTGCCTTAACTTCTCCTTAAAGATGGTGTTTGCTGAAAGAGCAGAGACCATTTCTGGAGGAAATTTTCATGGTGAATATCCTGCAAAGGTAATGAAGCACTTGGAGAAATTAAAAAAAAAAAAAATTAGTTTATATTTTGAGGTTTTTTATTTGTTTGTTTTTTCTGTCATCTAGTTTAACAAGATTTTCTTTTATAGGCTTTGGACTATTTGGCAATTGGCGTGCATGAACTTGCTGCAATTAGTGAAAGAAGAATCGAGAGGCTCTGCAACCCCTCGCTCAGTGAACTGCCTGCATTTTTAGTCACTGAAGGAGGTCTGAACTCGGGCTTCATGATTGCACACTGCACAGCAGCTGCCCTGGGTGAGTGCTTGGGCAGTATCATCAAGAGAGCAAGCTAGAAAGACTCCTTCATGTTGAGGCAGTTGTAATTTGGTAGTAGGTACAAAGGCATCTCACTCTTGTTTTCTGTCTCTTCTCCATGCGTTTTGTGCTGTCTGGGTGCAAAGTTTGAGCGTTGAGTGCAGCTGCAATTCTTTCAGCTCGGGATTCTTTATTCTGCCCTGACCCATGGCCGTGTTTAGCACTCTGAGCATGCAAACCCTTAGGTGGACTTTGATGGGAATGTTTGCCCACTTTGCATCTTTATGGGATTGGCAGGGAGCGCTCTGATTTACAGTCACCGACACGAGAGCTGTGATTGAAATCAGTGAGAGCTGTGCACCCAGGAACCTGCAAATCAGCTCAGACAGGGCTGTAATTAACAGCAAACACTGCAGGGAACAAAAATACATCAGTCTGAAG